TTAGATTTGGAGTATGGTTGTTATTATTATTGATATTATTAGGTATTTCTTTTAAGTGAATATCCATAGAAATTTTTAATTGAATATATCCCAGGTTGGTTCTAAGAAGGGTGGTAAGTTGAGTAGGTATTCTGGAATATTTTGAATAGTGAAGTATTCTCTGAGAGTAGTAAGAGTTGGTGTAATATCTTCTTGTTATATGATTGGAAGAGAGATATAGATTTCTTCTGTATTTTTTTCTAATTGGTTCTGTAATTCAACAAGAGTGTTAGGAATTAGTAGTTTAATTTGGGTGTTTTGTTATTTTTCTAATTTCTGCATGTTTGGTGGTATTTTAAGTTAGATCCACTCAGTTGGGAGTTTAGTAAAGTAGTAATCTTGTCTCAGTAATTTAACTATATCTATTACTGTCTAGATAATATGATAGAAATAGTTAAATTGTAATCAGAGATGAGTTGAGGATCAGTTAGAAGCCTAGGTTTGTCAGTTGGATTAGCTATCATAATATTCTCATTAATGGGAAATCGAACTCTATATTTTTTATTTGCCTTATTCAAGAATTTTTTTGCTTAGGAATCATCAGTGATTGAATACGTGAATATAGTATTTAATTTGATTTGGAATGGGTCTTTTGGTAGCCATGGCTTTTGTTTAAAGAAGTCATTTGGTATAGTTTTGAAAATGTAGAATTCTTGTAGTATTGTACGTATCTCTTGTATAGAGTATTCACTATTAGTTAGGTCTAGTAGGAATAAGAATCTAACTTTGCTATTGAGTTCATGGTATGTAGTAGGTAGCTATTCTCTTAGTGGTGGTAGTTGGAAGTAAGAGCTAGGTAACCTTTCGAAGTTATAGTGGTCTGTTAATTTGTTCCTATAGAAGCTTAAGAATTTGAGTTGTTTTCAGCTTGTAATAGAAAAAAAATCTTTGCCTTCTAGTATGAGATCATCTGGGTTAGCTGGTAGTTCTGGTAATGTAATGAAATATGTCATTGGCAAGGTTGTAAATATAAAGATTTGTCTTAATGTATTAACGATTTCTTTTGTTTGAGATCTTTTCTGAATTGATAAGGCAAAAGGTAGTTGATTAGAAATTTCAGTAGAGATTTCTTGCGGTGTATCTGGTAATGGTATGAGTAACAATGTTCTTGTTTTCTAATTTTTTTTTTGCCTCTTCATAGTCTTTAATGTAGTCAAAAGTCACTATGCACCAAAGATTGCCATGTTCAAACTTTTCTGAAATTTCCTTCAGATGCACATTTCTTCCT